GTACCAAAAGCCCAGCCAGGAGTTCATGTGGTTAAGCGGGGTTTGTCCGCAGGGCAGAAGCAGGGCACTGAAGGGAGGGGATTTCAGCCTGTGGATGGGAACTCTGAGTCGCTTCCCCCTTAAGCAAACCTGATAGGAAAATCCAGTTTTTCTAAGGAGTCTAAGTAAGGGCTGATAATTTGCTTCATAAAAGGATTCACTGAGGGGTCTTTTAAATAACAAGCTCGGAGAGAAAAATTTTAATAGGAATGATTTATGTAAAACTTAAAAAAAAACACAAAACACCTGGATCCTTTCACTATCTGTGTTGGTAGGTGTGTAAGAATGCATTTGTAGCTGGCCTTGTTACAAAAAAGGCTTTGAGGCAGTGGCACAATGGTTAAGTGCTCAGCTGCTAACCAAAAGGGCAGTGGTTCCAACCTATCAGCCCTTTGTGAACTTAAAGACCTGGTGATCTGTTCCTATAAAGATTATAGCCTAGGCAACCCTATGGACATTTCTACCCTGTCCTATAGAGTTGCGATGAGTCTGAATCAACTCTCAACATCTATTGAGTAGATTGAGGTATGATGTAGGAAGCTCTGGTGGCTTAGTGCCTAAGGCATTTGACTGTTAACCAGAAGGCTGGCAGTTCAAACCCACCAGCCACTCCTCAGAAGGAAGGTTGGGCAATCTACTTCTGCAGAGATACCTCCTTGAAAACCCAAGGACGGGTCGCCATGAGTCAGATCTGACATGACAGCAGGGGGTTTGGTTTTTGGTTTTGTAGATAGGACGTAAGTTGGGTAGCCCTGCCCCACTGCTGATTCTGTTAATCCCCTAAATTACTCTTTGGACAATTAGGCAACCAGATAAAACCCTCCCACTTCTCATAAAGAAGCCAAAGGGATTTCAGGGCTTTTCCTTATCCTTCCCGAATTTCCTAGAGAAATTGGTAACAACTATCTGATGAGCTTTTGAAAAAAAACAAATGGAGCATGCATTGAGCATGTGCCTGTGCCTGGCCCTCCTCTCAGTGCTTGGAGGCGGGGTCTCGTTTAATCTTCACTCTGGCGTTCTGGATGAGGAGGATGCTGCTGTTGCTGAGCTTGCTGCGTCTGCTGAAACATGAGAGCGGAATGATTGTTCTCAGCTCTTCTACTTTCAATCGCATATTCACAGAAGCAGCTTTACTTTATATATTTTGGTTTATTAAGTCAATGCAGGATCATCACAAACAATTCCGATAATAGAAAAGAGTAAAGAAAAAAAGGAAAAACATTGTCCGTTTTCCACCACCCAGATATCTCACCACTGGTAATATTTTAATATATAGTTTTTCAGGCTTTTTTCTGTACGTACGTGCAAGAAACACACACATATACAAACACACACATATACATATGTATATGTATGTATGTATATGTGTGTATGTACACACATGTACACACATATACATATGTACATGTTGTTGTTGCTGTTATGTACCGTCCAGTCGGACCTGACTCATAGTGACCCCTCCTTGGGTTTCTGAGGCAGTATCACTACGGAAGTAGATTGCCCCATCTTCCTTCCGAGGAGTGGCTGGTGGGTTTGAACCGCCAGCCTTCTGATTAGCAGTCAAGTGCCTTAGCCACTATGCTACCAGAGCTCCCACATATGTACATACACATACATATATGTATATGTGTGTGTGTGTTATTGTTTGATGCTATCCAGTCAATTTTGACTCTTAGCAATCTGTTTCTATAAACATTATATATAGTCTAGAAAAACACTATGGGGCAGTACTATGGACCCCAGTCCCATGGGGTCATATGACATATACACACACATAATATATACACACATTCATATATATACACACATTTTTATCTGCTTTTTAAATAGTATATCATGGACATTTTTCCATTAAAAACAAAAAATGTAGACCTATAGTACTATTTATTATAAATGCAGATTATTCCATTTTCTTACGAGCTCTGGTGGTACACTGGTTAAAGTATTCAGCTGCTAATCTAAAAATCAGCAATTTGAACCCACCAGCCACCCTGAGAGAGAAAAATGTGGCAGTCTGCTTCCGTAAGGATTTACAGCCTGGATACACCCTGTGGGGCAGTTCTAGTCTGTCCTGTGGGGGCACTCTGAGGTGGAATTGACTTAGCAGCATGTTTCCATTTTCCAAATATGTCACCACTTAGTTTTCATGCCCCTTATTATTGGACATTTAGGCACTGAGCTATTATAAAGAAAACATCTTTTCACTTTTTATATGCTTTTATAAACAAAAATGTAAATATACCTTTGCAAAATTGTCTGATTATTTTTGAAGGAAAAACCCCTAGAATTGGGCTTGCTGGGTTAAAGGCTATGTGTATATTAATGTCACATTTTGGCGAAATGCCCTCCAAGATGTTTGACAGATTTACTGCTGTGAATATTGCACCTCTGCTCACTCAGTCGTGGAGGGAGTTGCTTCTGCTGCCCATGGCTCAGACTCCTTCCCTCAGAAGCAGGTGTGAGTCCCTGGGTGGTACAGTTGGTTAATGTGGTTGGGGGCTAACCAAAAGGTGGGGATTCCAGTTCACCTCAAGGGCCTTGGAAGGAAGGCCTGGCAATCTACTTCCGAACAACCAGCCATTGAAAACCCTGTGGACCGCTCTGACCAACACAGGGTGGCCATGATTCAGAGTAGACTCCACAGCCACTGGTGATCATGCTATGGATAACAGTTCACATTTATCAGGCACACACCAAGTGCCAGGTTGTGTGATAAACTTGTGTATAGATTAGATTAGAATTACATAATTTCATTCTTACCACAACTCTGTGAGAAGGGTTCTAATGCCCCCAATTTACTCTGTCACCCCAATTCTGTGGCTCAGAAAAGTTAAGTGATTTGCCTTAGGGTATCCAGCTAATAAGTAGCAGAACTGGGATCGAAATTCGGCTCTGTCTAATTCTAGAATTGGGGCTCTTCTGCCCAGAAACATGAATTCCCTACTTCAGGTGAATTAGGTCAAGTCTGATCAATGAGTATAGGTGACAGTGTATCTCAGCCTTTGAGCACAGTGTGAGCATCATTACTCAAAGCAAAGTGACCGGGCAGCCATGATCACCTCATGTGGAAACAGCAAGGAAGTCTTTTCCAGGGGGTTCAGGGAGTTTCCTCTGAGAATGAAGTAAGTGTCTTTTCACTTTTGTTTTGAAAGTGAGGAACCACAGGGGTAAGTCAGCATCATGTCCCACAGTGAAATCACCGACCTAACCAGATTCCCCCACCCCCACTGCCTTTCTCCACCTCTCCGGAGCACCAGGGGCAAAGCTTTGCCTACCTCTTCTCGTCCAGACTCTAACCAACTTCAGCACTTCTTTTGACTGGAGGACTCCAGCCCTCTGGGGTCGAAGAATGAACTCATGCTGGCCCACTCCTTATGCTTCCTTTGCAGGTCTATTTATTTGGAAGTGGCTGAGCAATCTGAAATATGGCTCCCGGGGACTGAAGTGAGGCCTCAGGCCACTGCGGTTTAAAGAAGCCATTTCTTCTGCAGGCAGCCAGCTCCCACAGCCCCTGCATGCGTGACAGGAGCTGGCGGGCAACATCCCAGGAGTGTAGCATTTCCTACCCTTCTCTTTACCCTTAAGGAAGAGATTTGTTACATGTTGTTTTAACAGGTTGATGCAAAATAAATAAACAGAGAGGGAGGGAGAAGGAGATGGATGGTTTTCTGTAAATAATGTTACCGTGGCCAGCAATCTGGAGGGAGCTGGTGGGGAATAAGTTTCCCACCTAAGCAGTTGTGACAGGAGTATTAACTGAGGTTGAGGAGGGGCACACAAACACAGCACGACGAAGACTGCCAGAGCTCATACCAAAGCTGAAAAACGTGTGTCTGCAAGCGTAAAATGGTATATTCTGGGCGCACCATCCCACGTACCTAGCCAGGGATGTCTTTGAGGTGTCTGGCCTCCTCACCCCCAGCCTATTCCACCTTATGAATTGAATGTAGACCTCAGCTGAGGGAACCAGCCTGCTCCGCCTCTTGCTGAGACTAATAGTTCTGTACTCAGAGATGCTGGGTCCCTAGGGATCCACCCCCTGCTTTTGGAGAAAGGGTTTTATTGCCTTATCTAATATGATGCTGATTCCTTTTAAAGAACATGCTGTCGACTAGATACTGCTGATGTGAACTTCCCAGAGTCATCTCAGGAAGGGATGTAGCCCATGGTTGAGGGGTCCTTGTCACTAAGAAAGATAAGAGGGGATGGCCCAGGGGAAATTTTCCCTGCAGGGCAGGAAACTAAGCGAGTATCTCTCACACCTCCCCTGTGGGCCTGGCACGGTGCCATGCACCTTGAATCTATATTCTCATCCATCACCACCCTAACCCTCATCTTACAGACAGAGCAAGTGAGGCTCAAAGGGGTTAACAGACTTGGAAGGACACAGAGCTAAGAAGGTCCTGAGAGTCAGAGAGATCATGATAGAAACAAAAATGCTGCTACGGAAGGCAGAAAAAAATGTTTGTTTTGAGGTCTTTGATAGAATGATGCGACTGCTCTTATGTGGGCAAGAGATAAGGCCTTCAAATCCAACTAACATTCACTTCGTGACTTTAATAAAGCCATTCTCCTTCCTATGTCTATTTTTGCCAAGCAAAGCTTAAGTGCCTTTGTTTGTCATTCTGAAACACCTGAATGTCTCTAAGTGAATGGAGAGAGCATCAGCGGGAATAAAGCCATAGCCCTTTTCATCTTGTCATCGTTGTTAGCTGCTATGAGTCGATTCCGCTGCATAGGGGCCCATCATGTGCAGAGCAGAGCTGTGCTTCCATGGGTGTCTGAGGCTGTGACCTTTTGGATGCAGATCACCAGGCCTGTCTTCTGAGGCACCTCTGGGTGGATTTGAACCACCAACCTTTCCAGTAGTGGTCGAGCACTTAAACAGTTGCACCACCTAGGGACGCTTACTTTAAAATGACCTATTCCCATATGTGCCCCTTTGTGTCATCCTCACCTAGGTACGACTTCATTGAGATTCGAGATGGAGACAGTGAATCTGCAGACCTCCTGGGCAAGCACTGTGGGAACATCGCCCCGCCCACCATCATTTCCTCTGGCTCTGTGCTCTACATTAAGTTCACCTCTGACTATGCCCGGCAAGGGGCAGGCTTCTCCCTGCGCTATGAGATCTTCAAGACAGGTCAGTGGCCCTCAGGGGAGACTCAGGAGGTGGGAACTTTTGAGATGAAGATGGAAAATGGCCATATTTGTGTGGCCACAAGGTGTGATGTAAGGGAAGGGTGGGGAACAGTCTCTAGGAGCTTAGACACGACACGTGGTTGTTGGTATGCGCCACTGAGTTGATTCTGACTCATAAGGATCCTATAGAGCACAATAGAACTTCCCTGTAGGGGTTCCTAGGTTGTAATCTTTACAGGAGCAGATCTCCAAGTCTTTCTCCCATGGAGTTGCTGGTGGGTTCTAACTGCCAATCTTTTAGTTAGTAATGAGTGTTTAACCTTTGCACCACCAGGGCTCCAAGATACTTGGGAAGGGTTATAATTGTATTAAACTTGAGCAAGGCACTGACTGCAAGAGAGGATCAAGGTGAACCTGGAGGTACCAGGAAGTGCAAAGCCAGTTTAGCTTATCAACCACCTTAAGAGGTCCAGTTGCAGGGTTAATGCTGGGTACTGCCTGACAGGCAGGCTCAGCGTGGTTTATGGTACCAGCAGAATAAAGGCACCAAATAAATAAAGGGGGGAAAATAGCTTTTAGAAACAATTTGGGTTTTATATGTTTTAAAAAATCAAAATAATCCTCACAGGAAAAAACAAAACTTGGTTGAACTTTCTCACAATTACTACAGGGTTGCAAAATCAGTCTGGGTGTGGGCAAATGACCTCCTCTGACTTCACAAGGGGCAAGAAGGATCAAGATTAATATCAACAGCCCAAAGCTAAGTCCTATGAGGCGGAGTCAGACATGCCACCACTCCAACCTTTTTACCAATTCTGATGCCAACTGTCCCTCCCACGGCACTCTCTACTCTTCTGGGCTCAATAATTCATTGCAGAAGTCACAGACAACACTCATGACTATGAGATTTATTAGGGAAATAACAAGTTACAATTCAGAATGATAACAACTCAGGATACAGTTCTTCAATCAGGACACCTTCTTCTTAGCAGTGCCTCTCTGTGGCCCATGGCCTCTGAGCTCCATGGTCTCTTGATCTCTGCTCTGCTCAGGGAAGTGTTACAAAGCTTTTTAGCTCCTCCAGAAAGTACCTAGAAGCACCCCACTCCACCAGTAAGCCTTGGACCAAAGGCACTCAGCTTTCTTGCTCCATGGGCCCAGTAGCCCACTGTGCTGTCTCCTGCCAAGCCTCCTGCTGCTATTTCTCTGCGTTGCTTCGTGTCATCTCTCACCATCCAAGCTCTCTCTGTCTCCTGGGTGGAGGAGGTTCAGCACAGAGATCTCAAGTCCAAGGACATACCTCACTGCTTGCTCTCCTTCCTTGATGGTAGGGAGATCCCCCCTCTTTCCACCTCTGGGATGGCTCATTTTAAGCCTAGTGGTATGGCAAAACTGACCAATCCCCAGTAGGGTTCCATGTACCTTATTTCCATGGTTACCCACAAGGGTGCCATGCTCCTTATTTACATTATTAGCAAACTGTCCAGTCCCCCTTATGGGCCACAAGCACCTCACATTTGCTTAGTCCCACCCAGTTATCTGGTGGAAGTCACAAAGACCATGGCTAGAAGGGTCATACAAAGCAAACTGCACTGCAATGGTTTAATGTTGCTTTTATTTCAAATGACATGGATTGGAGAGGTATGATCTTGTCAGTGTGCAGAGTCTCTAAAGATTTTACTGTGACCTCTGAAATGGGGTCATACAGTGTCTTTTAAATTCAAATATGGCTCCTAGAAAGTCCCCCTTGGCAATCCATATTTCCTGTGGCATAGTGCCTAAGGCATTTGACTGCTAACCAGAGGCTAGCAGTTCAAATCCACCAGCCACTCCTCAGAAGGAAGGTTGGGCAATCTAGTCCCATAGTGATGATACCACCTTGGAAACCCAAGGAGGGGTCACTATGAGGTGAATAAACTCAGTGGCAGTGAGTCTGGTTTTTTTTGGTCTGATCCATTGAATCCCCACTTCCTAAACCTAAATGAAGCTGACTCCCTCTAAAGCAATTAAAAAGAGCAGAAAGAGAGGCAGAGAAGGCTGCACTTCAAGTTGACTGCTTGATTTCCATTTCGGAAAAACCTGAAACCAGTCAGTTCCAACTCCAGAAGAGAATTGTGCTCCACAGGGTTTCCAGTGGCTGGTTTTCTGGAAGTAGATCACCAGGCCTTTCTTTCAAGGTGCCGCTGGGTGAACGAGAACCTCCACCCTTTTGGTTAGCAGCTGAGTACGTTAATCATTACCATTAGGCCCCTCATAAATGACTTTAGACCCTGAGAATATAGGCCCATGCTTACTCCACGAATGGTATAGAGAACTGTACTCAGTCTACTGCCTGGTATAAGACACTGATTCTGCATCCATACTTGAGCATTCTCTTCGCCTAACATGCATGGGGCTTATTATCTTGAGACTAATGAAGCTTGTCCTCCGGTTCTCCACTCCCGGACCTCAGAGGCTCATGCTCCATCTATGTGTCAGTTTCTCCTCTGTAGCAGCCTAAGTTTTACAACTTGTGAATGGAGTTCTGGTTAAAAGAGAGACTGTCGGCCTTGTCATCGAGAGGCCTGACACCGGCGCCTGTTGAGTTCAGTGTGAGGGGAACTATTCATATATATTTTCTTTTTCACTAAACAATTCTTGAAAGGAAATGGTAGCTGCTGAAAGCACTTTTTATATCCGTGCTGTCTAAATATTTGTTGAATTTGTCTGCCTGAGAACAAGAACGTGCAATCAAATGAAGGGGCGGAGACAGAGGAACTTTGTGGAGCCAAAGGGGGAGCCCCTGCTGCCACAGGGGACAAGGCCCAAGAAAGCCCGTCTGCCACAGAAGCGAGCAGTCTGGGTCATTGTACTTCTAACTCCGAAGAGGCCACAGAGATTGACAGGATCTGTGTAACACCCGGTGGCTCAGCGCTTGTGTGAGGCTCCTGAGTGGCTGAGCCAATATTCCCTTGAGTCCTGTGCCGACCACCATTCAATGCCCTAAAGTTCGGATGGAACACTAACTGTACCATCTTTGGCAAAACAAAAAAGAGAAAAAGTGCTTGTCCTGCTCTAGTGAGAGAGACAGAGGGCAATGGCGGTCTAGTGGGAGAAGTCTTACCGTCCATGCGGGAGACCTGGGTTTGATTTCTAGCCAGTCCACCTCATGCATACCCACCACCCATCTCCAGGGGAGGCTTTTGTTCTACTGTGACAATGAATAGATTTTGGGGGAACTTCCACTGGGACAGACTAGAAAGAAAGACCTAGTGACCAACTTCCAACAACCGGCCAATGAAAACCTTGGGATCACAATGGTCCAATCGGTGACCCACCACGGGGATGGCAAAGGACTGGGCAGTGTTTGGTTCTACTGTGCGTGGGGTTGCCATGAGTTGGGGCCTGACTCAGCCACAGCTAACAACACAGTGGGAGAGGCAGATGTACAAACCCCCAGCAAGTAACAGATGCACGGTAGATGTTGTTGCATGAGTAGATATGTAAGTTGAATGGAAAACTCTAACACAAGGCAGAATAAGCTAAGCCCCAAGTAAAGGTAAGATTAACCTGCTGTGATTAGGAAAATGGTGCAGTAATTGAGTGACTCGACAAGATGGGGAGCACAGCAGCCTGGAGCAGCTACTGGACAGCAAGGTCGTAGGTCCGTAGTGCAAAAGCTGTTATTCAGCCTCCCTGTTCTGACTTGGAAGAAAATAGCTCTAAGCAGGATCTTCCCAGGGAATCGGCTACGGGAAGTAAGAGCAAGGGTGAACAGGACCATTTAAGTTCATCTCTGGTTTCATGCCTCCCAACGTAGTATTTAACAAGGATGACGCCACTTTCTCCAGAAAGCCACAGAAAAAGTGAATGCTAATTCTCTCCATCATGTAAATTTGAACAATGTATGGTGAAAGAAAGTCATCATTCAGCATTGCTGTTTTGAGGGCAGGCTGAGGCAAGATTTCAAAGAGGCCGCAAGTCCACCTAGAAACAATAGTGTTTGGTCGAGGAAGGAGGTTTGAGTGTGGGGAAAGGGGTGACCTGCTTTAGTAACTGAGATGGCCAGTAGGAGGAAGAGATTGCTGTAGAGACACACTCTGCCAACAAGAGCCACACAAGTGAAGAAAATGAGAAGGAAGGCCCCACTTGCCTTCTCAGGGTCACGTACACTCACCACCATGCTGACCCAGACCGACTCTCAGCATGAAAGTCAAACCTCCAGGAAATATACAGGTACACCAGGGTGCAGAATTCTCAGCTGAAATGGAAGATGAGCATTCTGCCAGGTGCCGTGTCCTGCACCCATATTTCTAACCCATGTTTCCATTGTTGGAGTCCTCAGAGAAAATACACAATGTTTATGTCATCCACAGGACATGAAAGAAATGCATGAATATGCTGAAGAAATCCAAACAAACATAACTATGTTTGCTACTTAGATTCATACAGAGAAGGAAGGGGAAAACTGTAAACACAGATATACGCAGTCCTTGGGTCACCCCAGATTACAAATGAGTTCCATTCCTTAGTCTCTAAGTCAAATTTATATGTAAATCTGAACAGTTGGGTACGGTTCATATCTAAAGTCATTTAGTCAAATGTTTGTCTTAGTATATAGTGTACCTTTCTATGCATAAAAAGACATTAAGGAAACACTTCCAAATACACTATAAAACATCTTTAACATATAATACAGTCATAATAATTACATTTTGATGCAAAGTAACCCCCATTTGTTATTTTGAATCATTGTATGTGCCTCAGTAAAATTTTAATATAATAGGCTTTACAGGGGTTGGTTCATAACTTTGGATTGTACTAAGACCCAAGAACTGCCTATACCCAAATAACCTATAGCCATTTCTGGAAGCCTGTGATAGCACATTGCCGTAGTGAGGCCCTCCTGCAAAATGATTCTGAGAGACTAACTCATAATGAAGGTACAGACTGCAGGCATGTGGCTGGAGTGGGAGTTTTCATGTCTGCCTTAAAAGAAATTATTTATAAAAGACTCTGTCT